TTTTTCCGGGGCCTAATCAATGTCAATCATTGTGCTACCGAGAACGAGTGGCAAATACATCACATACGGGGGTGACGAGGTCTAAGAACTAGGCGCCAGTTGTCTATTGCGAAGTTTTTCTGGTTCTGATATGGCACCTTCCAGAAGACGTGAAGGCTTAGATTATGTCAACATAAAGGGCATTAAGGTCAGAAATCATAGAATTTTAAGTAGCTAAGGAATGTTTTTATCGGTTGAGCGGCAAGCAGCTCTTTCTTAGGTCGCCTAATCACAGTTCACTACTGGACGATATCAAACAAAACAAAGGAGGGAGGGGTTCTTCTAGCTCCTTTCTGTGAAACTTAACGGCCAAAATACTTCGAAGCAATCCTTCCATGATTGGAGATACTAACGTTACCCATGATATCCTTCACTGGGGTTTTCCCCCGCTCAAAGATATCTGGCCGGTTCTTTGCCAGACTACTTGGCACAATCCCAGACACCGGAATCTGCCTAGAGACCCAAGAAGATTGGAAGAGATGGAACTCCTGCTCTTGCCAAGTCAATATAGCCGGTAGAAACTGGGGATCCTGTTAAACTGGGTCCTTTTTAAGCACTGCCACTAACTAAATCCTAATTGTAGTTGACATCGGTGCTAGTAACCACGCACAACTAGGTTCTTCCCCCATCACTTTCATTTTTTAGGCGTTTTTTGTTTATNAATTTTCTTGACTCGGTAATTCGAAACATACCGTGTTGAACATTACTGATGCAGTCTAAGTATTGTTTTCCTTTTTCGTCGTAAAGATATTGCATCGACGCTTTTGACACCATAAATGGATCGTCTTTGTAGAAAATCTGACATTTTGATCTGAAACAAACGTACTCATTCCGGTAGCATTCTTCACTGCATAGTCAAAACAACTGGTATGAGATTGCATAGTTAGGAATCTACTAGTATACAGCTCTGAGACAGCTTCCGCATAGGTTTATTGATGTGAATGACCGTGACATACACAAAGCCTGTTTCCAGGCAACTAGTGATGAGCTGTAGTGGCGAAGGAAGTATGGAATTGACATCGCTACTAATTTAGATCTCAGGTTTGAGGTGAAGCAATTAGGAAGCAAGGATTCGGGGAAGTAGATAGACGACAGCCCTCGGCCCAAAATTTCTGTTCGCTTCCCTCTACAGGAGAATCTTATCGCCCCAGTGGGACTTGATCCCTCATACCTCGGATAATGGTTGGATTCTTTTTGTATATGGGGGACCTACTTCTACCAGCCAGTCTGCTGATCGTTTACATTTACACTTCTTCTTCAATACTTCTTCAAAGTGATAGTTAGCACTTGATTTTCGCAAGCGCCCAATTTGAAACCCCTTCCTTCCGAAAGATGTGGCAGAACGCCCCTTAGATGAACTGACAGTCTCTCCAGTCCTAATGCGTTGCTCTCGAGTACTATTCAAGGACTCTAACAAGGAAGGTCAACCTACCCAATAATATCCTTCCTCTTGCTGAGCACTTCTTCTTTTGAACGGACTTCTTCATCACGTCCAAACTTTGACCCAACACTACCACTGAAATAACCGAACACCTGCACAAGCCGGTCCATTATCCTGAAATCAGTGACATAATAGGGATTGGTATGGGTGATGGACGTTACGGTATTTATCAAACGAAAAACGGAAAGCTATTTTGACAAGATGAAATCAACAAAAAAGCTGTTTGTGCTACTTGTTTACTAGAGATGATCGGTGGCGGAGAACCGGGTTGATATGTCCTGGACATGTTCGGTCCCGGGTGTTTGTCTAGCAGCGAAAAAACTATTAATAGAGATTGCTGAAGATCGCTCGAGGTCAGAAAGGTAATTTACCTGTTGCACGACTTTTTCACGTGAACATCAGGATCGGGTAACCTTTAAAGGTTTTTTTCCACTGATTCCTTTAAGATACGCTGATGCTAGGCCTATCTTTGAAAATCAGCCCTAAGTTCGCTAAATTACTGGATGTTTAAATTTCAGGAACATTGTTCTCATAACAAGATTATGCCGAGAAAAAAATTCGGGAAAATTTGTCACAAAATTGGGAAAAAGGTCGAGGTTGTGTAGGCTCTTTTGCGAATCATTCAGTTTTTTCCCGGGCTAGGCATGCCTGGAGGAAGCTGCAAGCTCGAGAAAGTCACTCAGATTCTTAAATATCGATTGCGAAGAGTCACTGAAAAAGGGATAAATAACCCCCACGAGGTAGGTACTGAGATTAGGAGGGAATGGAAAATAGGAGCAAATTTCCTGGCTAGAAAGGGAAAATGTCCGAACCGGATTGTCGGAAAGAAGGTAGAAAGATGGTGGTCAGAAGCGTAACCAAAGAGCAAAGAACATATAAAAGATATAAGAAGTTGCTTCTTGTAATCTCACCCATTGGGGTGCCTTTTCTACTCGAAGTGGGCGTGTCCTGCAGCATTGCCTGTTCGTGCTCTCTCGTCATATCTGCTAGTCCCTGCTGGCCCCTCCCCTACCCCACCCCTCTTCTAGACCTCCGAGACCACTCGTTGTCGCTAGGTCGTCGTCATTTCGCCGTTTATCAGCGAATTTCTTTGACAGGCTCTGCTTAGACATCGAAAACTCTTGTCCGTTGGCCAGTCGCGGGGATACGTGAGATAGCGTGAAAGTCGAAGATTACTGACGGCAAAGTCTTTGAGCGGGCCTTTGAGCGCGAGGGCGAAACAAATAGATAATCGGCGTACGTAATTGCGGACAAAAGGCAAACATCAGATAAGACAGGGCTGGGGGTTTCCTTGACAGTCCAAAGTCTGTCCCGTCAAAGCGTAACGTGACTTTTTATCGAATGGATTTACGACCCTGTCATTGATCCTGCCTGCAAACAAAGACTTTCATTTATGATATAATAATCGAAAAA